CCCACGGCTCTGGCTACAAGGCCTTCCCACAGGCACACAGGGACAGCAAGGTGGCGACAGACAGCTCCCCGGAGGTGGGGAGGGGGGTTACCATGTGGTTGGGGTGTTAGGACATGGTTGTGGGGTTAGGGTGGGGTTGGGAGGGTCTAAGACATGGTATGGGGGGCAAAGATGCGGTTAGGGGGGTCTAGGACAGGACGTGGTATGGGGGGCTGGGAGGGGGTAGGGGGGATAGGATGTGGTTGGGGGGATCTTCGATGTGGTTTGAGGAATTCCTGCATGGTTAGTGCCTGGTTGGGGGGCTAGGACATGGTTGGGCTAGGACAAGGTCAGGGGGGCTAGGATGAGGTTGGGGGGGCTGGTGCATGGTGATGGAGTCACCATCCCTGGAGGTGCTCAAGGAGATGTGGACATGGCACTTAGTGCCCCATGATCTAGTGGCCATGGAGGTGTTAGGTGATGGGTTGGAATTGCTGACCTCAGAGGGTTTTTCCAACCTGATTCATTCTGGAATTCTATGGGAAATCCAAGTGTGGAATCCACCCATGGATGGCAAACCCAGTGTGGGTGTGCTCAGCCTGAGGTGTGTGCACATCTCCTGACCCTGCAGAGCTGTGAAGACAAAGCCAGGGATGGTTTTTTCCCCTCCCTCATACCCAACCTAGAGGATTTGGGGAGAAGACAGGAGCAAGTGGCACTTGGGTTGCTTGATGTGTCCCCACACTGGTCACTGTGACTGGAGGGGAGGAGCTGCAGCTTTTGGCCCTTTCTCACATTTCTGAGGGTTGAACATTGAGCTGATCTTGCTCCTAACCCAAACCTCTGATCTCCTCATGCAGTTCTTACCCACCAAACTCAGTGGTTTCACCTGCCCTGCTGGAAATGCCTCCTGTGCCCTCAACTACAGCCCAGGTAAGAGCATCTGCTGCCCTCCAGGGTGACTTTGCAACCTGTGGGGGGAGGCAGATGTGACTCTGCTGATCTCTGCTGTGTTTCTCCTGCAGAAGTTCCTTCTGCTGAGACCTACAGGGCAGTGGCAGAACCTAGAACCTTCGGCCCTGGTGCCAACGGGCAGTGGAGGGGCTCAGGACCCCCCGTAGGCTCTGTGCCTCAGAAGCCAAGGCTGAGCAGAAGTTCTTACCTTGAAGCTCGTAAAAATCCCAGGTGGGTACAGCTCAACCCTCCCCATGGGGAGAACTCACCCCCACAAACCTCTGGTGGGACTTCAGGGTGGGGATTTGAGCATAGGTCAGCGTTGGGTGGGACTATTGGTGGTTTTTTGGGCTTGAAAACCTTCTTGATGTGAAGAGAGTGGTCACAGCACCAAACCAGATGGATCAAGGAGTGTTTGATGTTCTCATGCTCCTGGGGGGATTTTGGGGGTGTCCTGTGCAGGGCCAAGAGTTGGACTTGGTGATTCTCTCCCTCTGCTCTGCTCCACCTGGAGTGCTGGGACAGTTCTGGGTCCCAACATGGAACTGTTGGAGCAAATACAGAGGAGGCCATGAGGCTGGTGGGGAATTGGAGAACCTTCCCCTGAGG